ATGGTTTGTACTCATGTTTTGTGGATGCACATGAACCATGATGCCAGTCACCATCTTCAACGCCATCAACTGCGAGCCCAGCAGGAACATGTTGTAGTGGATATATTGAAGATTGTGAGGCAGGTTTTCTAAGCGCCAAATTTTCTGTGTCTGTACAAAAGATAAACAACAGGTTAAATTTCTTTGTATTTGTTACATTTATTGATATCTTTATTTACTCATTGTTAAAAAATCTTAAGTACGTGTCTAACCTGTCTCCTTCCATAAAGAGCCTCCGCATTGTTTTTCAGCCCTGCTCGTGTGAATACACACTAATAAACCTTAACAAAGAAAAAAAACTATTATTGACAATGAATGAAATAGATTGATTAGAACTATAGATAGATGAGTATAATAGTACAATAACGTCATTTCTAAGGGCAATATAGTGAAATATTGGACCGAAGGCCTAAAAATGTTTGAAACCAAAGCATTTTTGCCAGGTATTCTGGATAATTACGTAGATGTGCTCACATATTGCCAAGTGGAATTCTGTGTTTAACATCTGCATGGTAAATAAATCACACTCAACAATGCAACACTGCGCCGTTCTGGAATGTAATCATCGGTATTGTCTCCATTTTGGTATTCAATGATGTTGTTATAAAGAATAATCGGCAAAATTTACACTCACTAAATTTCGTAAAAGTAATAAATCGCTCTATTTACATATAATTGTGTAAATACGATAAATGAGATTTTGTACAACAGAAAAGCAGCTTTATCAAAAAATTTAGACAATGAGCTGTATCAATTCGCTATAAGACAGTTACTTTCAATTACATCTTCAACCATGAAAACGTAAAGATAATACGTACCAAGTTGCCGGATAAGTTATTCTTCGTGCAGAGTTTGGATTAAATTAAATTTGGAACACGGAAGGAAACATATTTATAGCTTTTTAAATTAAACAGCCTAATTGTATAAATTGAAATAATCCATTATAGATTATTTCTAAATTAGGTAGAGGAAATTAAACTGAAAGTACTTTAGTTACATAGCCAAAATAAATATAAAAATCTTAAATAGGATGTTTACATTAACTTTGTGAGGGAATTCTGTCTGAATTTCAAACCTCCATCATTATTCTATTAAGAACATACTTAATATTAAACCTCATTATAGACTAGCTGTTGAAGCACTTCTATTTTCGTTTTCACATGATATTGAAAAAGTTTGACAATAAAATTAAAACGGCATATGGCTCAAATACGTACATTTTTACTCAGTTAAAGTTGTTAAACACACAGAAACATATTTTCAAACTTGGCACAGTCGCGAAGCCATTAAAATCTTAAATACCAGCCCCTAAAAAGGGTTTGAAACCAGAGCATATTTGCCAGTTATTCTGGATATTTCATCTGCATACACAATATTTGATGTTTGATTTCATAAGGTCAGTAATCATAGATATCCTACATATAAGTTACAGCATAATTCATGTAGATTGGATACGAATTGTCAAAGTTATAGCAGTTTTAGTGAAAAGATCTATGACCGATATACATGTATCTGTCGCCATGGATTCTCATAAAATTTCATTTTTGACAGAAATATCCATCATTCAGGGTGTTGTACCTTCACACTAGGACATGGTGATCCCTGAATATCACTTTGGTGAAAAACACATTGATCATAATTGTATATCAATATGAACATGTACAAGCGGTGAAAGAACTATTAAGATACATCCCTAGCAGCGTGTTGGAACTGTTCAAACTGGTGGTTACAAAAATTAATTAATCCATTCAAAAGTTATAGAGGAGTTTCTAAATAGCTTTAAAATCTCGCTCAATCTCGTTTTTTCATGAGATTTGCACTTTTTACCTCTAATGACTTAGTTTTCTTTATTTTCGATAGCATATTTGAATTCAGTGACAAGTTTTCTCCAATAATAAGTTTGATTAACACAGTTATGTAATTTAGATCATTTTCCATGACATTTAACAAAAACTTGGGGCAAATCTCCATTGGTGAAATACTAAGATTCATTAAAACCTTGGCTTATTCGTATGACAACCAACAGTTTCATGTTTAATCACAGTATGTATATTGACAGTGTCATCCGATAGTATGCCATTCGAGTTTCAGACAGATTCAACCAACACCTTTTGATAAATCATGAAATTAAGTGACTATTGCAAGTTTCTAGCATTGACGTGAATGGAGGTGTGGCCCAAGAAAATCAAAGACAAACAAGGGTGACATCTATTAATGCAGCATTATTCAGCTATTTAGAAACTATATAATTCCCAAAATTAGCCACACGGCGGCGAGCCAACACGGCTAATGTTACAGCTACTTTGATAAAGATTTTTTTAATGGATAGTTAAGGAAAAATCAACATCTTCCTTTCTAAATACACTAATCCCCAAAGAAAGATAAGGATCATATTTATCACTTTTAACCCCAATTTCACCTTTAAAATGTGTAGGTGCAAACGTTTAACCTACACCTCACATGAACAGAGTTATTTATGTTTTTATTTTGACTGGAAAAAGTTGTTGATCGACTTTTATAATACTTCTCATATCAATTCTTACAAGCATGTATTACTGTCAAATGACAATTTGGCGTATATATTTGGCCATTTCCAAATGTCACTTATTTCTACGGCCGTTCGATGGGATCTGCTATACATCGGCATTGTTGTTTCCTAGTTGGGTTTGATAAGTATGATGGTTCGATACCGATTTATCAGATACCATTTAGTTTCCTCATTCAAATTCCCAATGTCAACAAAGCCATATCGATTACAATGGAAGTAGTTACCATCTTTATGTTGATTAAACAATTTACAGATAGGAAGCCGTAGATTTCGTTAAATTAGCGAGGATATTTTAATAATAATGTAAATTCCGATATGTTGAAATGTTTAGAAAGGCTGTTGAAGATATCACTTTTTCTCAATTGAATAGATGAATATTTGCTTGCATACCTAGCGTGTGCTATGTAGTATCATCGTCCGAATTTTCTATGAGACATAAACTCCATTTCCGTAGGACAAGGTCACCATTTTTTCATGAAATGCTTTGTTTTATTCCATATTAATGTAAAAAAACAAATACGGAATGGTCTGCCGCTCACCGTGAATATGCTTACTCTAAAATTCAATGTCAAACATGTAGAATGATTTCAATTTCAAAATAACATTTTCTACGGATGCATAATTAGAAATACGCTTTGACAAGGGTTGCGTTCCCTGCTTCATGAACTTTACTTGTAATTGTTTTGAGTCATAATGTTGAAATCCTAAGAAATCATAGACTCTTTGAACAACCGTAAATGCATCTGATGACAAATCCTCGTATGTTAAAACGTATTTATCCTTATAACCTTTCAATTTTTCCAAAGCGTTCTTCCATCGTTTCTTTGTCTCTATGACAAATGCCTTAAATTGCGTAATATTGAAAACGAGTTCTGAACTATTGGGTTTTATACTCATTTCGGAATTCCAAGCTTTGTTTTGCATTGCAACCTTCCAGCTCGTGAATTGTTCTATAATGTTCCGTCGAAACAGAATTATGATCGCCGGCCTGTCCAGGAGATCAATGAACTCAGCTTGGGAAATGTTCCATGTTTTTACATCAGTACAAAAAAGTTTGAATCCTGTTGTGATGTTTTTGAGAGTTCTTACTCAATTTGGCATTGACGTATTTGAATGCTTCGTTTGTAGTTTGGATTGTTATATTATTGCGTTTTAAGGTAGATCTTGTTAGGAGTTCATGATAGTGTCTTATACGTGGGTTGTGCTCCAACAAACTGCTAAAAAACGTTGATCCACTCCGAGGTTCTGTCAGGATTATGTAATGTTTGTATAGTAAAGAACCATCATTAATGTAACTTTCCTCGTTTTCACAGAATGTTTTATTGACTTTACAGTTTCTGATATTCTTATGGATTCCTTGCGCCATTTTAAAATTGAATACTAAATATGAAACTGTTGCAAGAACTCCGAAAACTGTTAAATATATGTATATGTTGTTTTTGTTATAACCAACCATTTTCCATTTGTAGTATTGCGGCCTAGATTCAACAGTATAGTGAATATTCACTATGTAAAATACCCATAGTAATACAGTATCAGAAACATAGGATACACACGTATCAATTGATTTAATGCAGTTTTACTTGTTATCATAAGTTTAGGTATCAGACATATTTATCAAGATATATTTTGCAATTACTTTGCAACCAGAGAAGCTTTTTTCATTCTGACTTCAGTTTTACATACTAGGTTAATCTATTACCTTTCAGAATATGTATGCATTATTTATCATGAATGCATGAAAATATGTGTAAACCTAATCATAAGGGTCAGGTGTTTTAGCATTTTGTAACATTTTGTAGCATTTATATATAACACTGTATTAATTGAATATGTTTCAGTGATAGTGATGTTCTTTGGCCTCAAGTAGCACAAAAATTCATAATGCGATTTATAACTGGTTTGTTTTATCTGAAAGGAATTGAATTAATTGAGGATTAGATGGGATTTCATGTTGATAGAATGATTATTTCTGATATAGTTATTGCAAAGAATGAGCTCCGGGGTCCAAACGGACCCCAAAAACCATTTCAGGGTTAAGCTGAGTTATCCAGAATAATCTGATTCAGCCAGAATAAAGACATTTAGACAATTTTAAGGTAGGTTTTCTTCGACTCAATCGACCAAACATTAGTAGGCTTTCATTAGTTAATCTGAAAACATAGGATCAAATCCTATGCTAGGGGCTGATGTGAAAAAGACACTCCACCCTGGTGGGAATCGAACCCACAACCTTCCGATTACATGTCAGGTGCTCTACCACTTGAGCTACGGAGCCGACTGACTTTTTCACATCAACATTGCATATATGGCATCACAGCCATGACTTACATGCCCAGTCTCCTGGACCCCACGTTACACGTTCACGTTACAATGCTAGTCAATGGGCAAATGGGCAAACGCCTGATTTTCTATCTCGAGTTATGGATTCATGTGGCCCCGCTGGCCTATCTGAGGTTCAAAAGCGATGTCTAAGCTTCATTTTGACACGACACTCAAAAGGGGTCTACTTTCTGAAATATATGGTCAATTGTGACACTACCCCCTCTTTCTGCCGAAAGAAATTGTAATTCAAAAATGAAGCCAAAAGAAATACACCACATTTCAGATAACCCAAATAAATGCATTTTCAGATGAAATGGCATGCTATTATTGCAAAAGATGACAATTGTACCTACATATTAGCTTACTGACTCGTTATGATCACAATTGTGTTGGAACTACATTCATTTTTAAAACTACTTTTTTGTCTTCAGCGGAAGTGACGTATTAGGGCATATATACAGGTTCACATTTAGGTTGCCCGTGCATCTTATCCTCTCTAATGTTTACAAAAGTACGTTCAAATGACCGGGCCTTTCTTTCAGAGGATATTGACATATATACTAAATCTAAAATACCCTAACCGGCTTTCAAGGCGTTTAAAGAGGGTTATTGCGTACTGCGCCCAAGTCAAAGATCACAAATTACGAAACACAACTGTATTTTTGATGAGTCGTCCAATAAGAAATCAGTTTTACAATGTATTTTATTTTGCTCTGCCTCAAAAGTGCACGGTATTTGTTTTCATGGTTCGTAAACGGCGACTTCACAGAGGGTCAAAAAAGCATCAACCAAAGTGTGCTGTATCTGGACCTTTACATAGCGACCAGACAAACCATTTGGACATTGGAAAATCTGCCAATCTTTCCCACATGTATTCAAGGAACCGGTGTTGTGGACACATAGTTCCCACTTGACATTGTCTTTGCTTACTTCAATTTTAAAGTCTTTCAGCCGTGCTATAAAATAAATATTTCATTTTAAAACACAATACCATTGTGATGGCATTGGGTTGACTTCACAATTTAAAATAGAAGTAAATTGATATCTGTCGCACGTGTTATAACATAATAAATTTATCACCGATAATA